AGATAGATAGATAGATAGATAGATAGATAGATAGATAGATAGATAGACAGGTGATAGATAGATAAATAGACGGATAGATAGATAATAGATAGACAGAGCTAGATGATAGGTAGATAGATGATAGATGATAGATAGATAGATAGATAGATAGATAGATAGATAGATAGATAGATAGACGGATAGACAGACAGGCAGACAGGCAGACAGATAGATAGACAGATAGATAGATGATAGATAAATAGACGGATAGACGGATAGATAGATAGATAGATAGATAGATAGATAGATAGATAGATAGATAGATAGATAGATAGATAGATGATATAGACAGATGGACAGACAGATGATAGATAACTAGATAGACGGATAGACAGACAGACAGACAGACAGACAGACGAATCGATAGACAGACAGATAGATAAACAGACAGATAATGTGATGACCCAGGGTGCACCCTCAATGTCTTGAAGAGGTGGTTAGAAGTTGAGCCATCCAGCTGTGACCAAGAAGAGCCTTGCAACAAACAAAGGGGTGATCGGAATCAATTTGATTCCAGTCTTGAATGCTCTGGCTTCAGCGTGCACTGCCGTTCCAGCAGCTCTTGCCAAGTTTATAAGTTGCCTTGAGGGGGTGAGGGGCAAAGGAGAACCCGAAAAAGTTTTTTTCTGGAACACCATTAGCTTGTGGATGGTTCTTTTCCCCTTTTCTCTTGATCGCCTGCATTTATACTCGTGCTGCACATAATTTCAGGCACAAAAGCCATGGCTGCCTCTGTGTTTGCTTGTTACCTGTCATTGCTCACTTCTGGAAGTTGTTTCTGTCCTTACTGGCAAAAATAATTAGCAGTTTGGAAAAGGGAAAAAAACCAAGCCTGCCAGATGGGATCTGGGTTTTGTCTCCTGCCCTTGGGATCTGGTGGGAAAGGCAGATGTTTGCAGAACCTGAGATCCAAAGTCCCATAGCTACAAGTACTGCACTAATGCTCCTATTAAAAGGAGAAGGAATTGAGATCTGAACTCCAAGGCTAAAGAGCATCACAGCATCATATTAAGAAAGGGCTCCCCTTCTTGAGGGCTTCCTACTGATCAGGATATTGCTTTGATAGACCAATAGGTAGGCTTTTGGTACACCAAATGGATCTGACTCCCGGCAAAAACCTCTTTTATTACATTAATGTGAATTAATTTCATTCACTGTCAGTCAAAGGCTTGGCAAACAGTGTTGCGAAGGTATACTAAGGAGCTTAGACCTTTATCAATCCTGGAACGCTCCCCAGTAAATAGTTCCACACTCAGTGCTGGCAGGGAAGGGCTGGGTTATACAGACAAATCTCCACAAGGCTGGAACAAACAAATGAACGAAAGAACGAGTTGTTTTCTGCAAAAGCTCCCTCCCCTTTGGCTTCTCTTTTAATCCTGATGGGAGGGGCCATTCACCATCCACCTGTGGCCTTACTCCCACGTCGACCCTGAGTTCTTAATTGTGCCTTCCTTTTGGCAGCTCTGCGCATGCACAGGCTGGGAACCGGTTCCAGAAGCTCCCCTGCCTCACTGCTGTCCAAGCCTGAAGGCAGCTGATGACTGCTAGCCTGCCCTGGCCCCATCTCTGCCTCTGATGCAGAGCCCTTGTCCGAGCCTTCCTCAGCCTCCAGGAATGGCCCAGGTTCCTCCCTAACCTCCTCACTACTGTCTGACTCTGCTGTCAGTTCCGCCAGCCGCCGGTGGTCCACAACAGCCGTCCCCATCCCTCCCCCTGGTCCATGGAAAAATAGTCTTCTGGGAAACATCCTTGGTGCCAAAAAGTTTGGGGAACACTGCCGTACCGGAATAATCATGGCACATGAGATGAATCATTTTCAAGGACAGTACGACTTGTTACTGGATTGCTGGAGATCATTTTTGGCAAGGCTCGTTCTTGGGCCTTCTAGTTTTTAGAATTCACGAGGAGAAACAAATGGGACATAGCTCAGTTGTAGAAATCCTTTCGACTCCAGCTAGGATTGGAAAGGTTTCAGATCTGATCATCCGAACAACCCCCTTGGCCTAGTGCAGAGCTTCAGCCTTACCTGGCCTTCTTGCCGGACAGGTGTTTAGATTCAATAATCCAACATCAGTTCAAGGAAGGCTGGTGTAGAACTGACCTAGCTAGACCTGGCTTAAGGGAAGGCAGCTCCACAATCTTTCAGCATTGATGACATTGGGAAGGGATGGTGTGTTTCACACGCAGAATAGTACAAAGGAACAGGTAAGTTCACCATGACATTTTCCCCTTGAAAATACTACCGTTTTGTAGAGGACTCTTCCAGGAATGGCTGTCAAACTGCTAACTATTTTTGAAACATTCACCTCTATGGTTGGACAATTGATACCAAAGAACTGCGAAAGTTCATTCTTTCTTTTTTTTTAAGGATTAATTTCTGATGTGGAGCCAGTGGACTGGAAGTCTTGTTTGATGCATGCTGCTGAGAGCTGCAGCTGTTATTTTGCTTTCAGCAGTGTGGCCTCTGCATTTTATCCTGGTTTGTGCATTTCTCAGTTGCCTGCGCTGTGGCATTCTTGTTAATGCAACGCTGCCTTCCAAGTGCAGTGCAGCAGAATGATAGTGAAAGGATCCTTTGGGGTCATCAATGCGCAAAACAAACATCAACCATTATTATCAATGGCTGTTTCAAAAGAAAAGAAGGAAGAAGGGATCAATTTATTTCAGCTTTTCTTGATTGAGCCTCTTCCAGATGTTTTGCACCAATCTGGATGATAGAAGAGGCGGAAGTTTGGTTTAGCACACTATGCAAAACAATCGCCTTTGTTTTTCAGTGATTTTATGTTGTTTATTGTTACATTGCCATCTTTTCTCTTGAGACACGTTCATGGGAAGTGGGGAATCTCCCTTCATTTTATCCTTGCAGTGGTCATCCTGTAAGATAAGTAGGGTAGAAAAAATACATGACTGGCCCAGAGTCACCCGATGAACTTAGTGCTTAAATAGGGACTTCAACCCAGGTCTTTCTTAACCAGCTACTGTGCCCTGTGGATGGAATCACCAGTTGATGATGTTTAACACCAATAACGGGTGTTTTTTTTCCCCCCATCTTTGCTCCAGGTTAATCTTCTCCTCTGACCTCTGTGGGCTTAGCACAAGCCATGGGTTTACAAGATCTCTTCGGCTGATAGCAGGGGGCAGATTGTTTTCATGAAACCTTTAGCTGTAATTCCCCTGCTTTCCTTCTAACCATCACACCCCTGCGTCTGTTGAAGGCAATTGCCACAGCAGAAGCCAGTCAAAAACAATCCTCCTTCTACCAATTCTGTCCAGATGGAATTGAAAACCTTAGGCTGTCAGGTTGGCCGTTCCTAATTTTGAGCATCTAAAATTAATGGTTCGGGAATTGAACAGAGGTGGGTTGTCATGTCTTTTAGATCAGGGCTGGCCAACCTTGGCAACTTGGAGACCTGTGGACTTCAACTCCCAGAATTCCCTAGCCAGCATAGAATAGCATAGCTGGCTGGCTAGGGAATTCATTTATTTATTTATTTATTTGATTTGCCAATTGTTTACAAGATAATAAGTATAAGTGTATACATAGCTGTGAATACATGAAATGGGTACATATAAGAAAAATAAAAGAATAAGAGAAACAATAGGACAGGGACGGTAGGCACGTTGGTGCGCTGGGAGTTGGAGTTCACAAGTCTTCAAGTTGCCAAGGTTGGGCACCCCTGTTCTAGAATGCCAGAGCTTTGATTGTAACTACTTGGGGTAACAATTCTTTGCTGAATTTTGCAACCACCACTGTAGGTAAAAACAATGGTAGATTTTGTATAATTATTCTTTTAAAAAAACACACAAAAATGATGTTACTTTGGTCAGTCAAGCGTCATGTTATAAAAAGGGCTATAAACCTGGGGAATAGAAATAAGTATGATTCTCTTTTCCAGAAGTCCCCTGCGGAAGATTCTGCTACATAACTCCGTCGTTTATTTATATTTTACCACTCAAATTTGCCATGGTTATTTGTAAAGCAGCACATAAATTTACAGCGCTTTTTATTTTGAACTTTCATCTGATTGGAGGTACCTCCATCCGGAAAAAAAAAATTACATACCTTTTTAAACATGATCTTCAAATATCCAGCTCACTTCCCCCCTCTCAGAACTGCCAAGCAGAGGTGGTATTCAGCAGGTTCTGACCAGTTCTGGAGAACCGGTAGCGGAAATTTTGAGTAGTTTGGAGAACCAGCCAATCCCACCTCTGATTGGAGATTTTACAGTATCCTTACCCTGCCAACGCCCACCAAGCCAAGCCCACAGAACTGGTAGTAAAAAAAATTGAATCTCATCACTGCTGCCAAGGTTCTTCTGTGAGAGTTATCCACATAAATATAATTTAAAAATAAATAGTGGGCTTGTAAACTATGTTTCTACATGTTGGAAATTGCTTCCTATTCCTGTTCCTTATCAAAATTAGGCTCAATATCATGAAAATAGAGAAATGGTTTTTCTAGAGCTGTATAAGGAGTGTCTGAAGCCTCTTTGGTTCGTAGCTGACACTTACTTTCAGGAAGAAAATGCTTCTTTTCCATGGTCCCCACCCCTCCTCTTATTATATTTGGGGAAAGCATCAGACAGACTGAGCGTTAATGGACCTTTGGATGGATTTTATTTCAATCTTGTGTTGTTAAAATAATGCAGCCTGGAGGCCTTTTCCTCAGATGATGGCATTTGACTGTAACAATGAGATGTCCGTCCACCTCTAACCGAATTTAAATTTCTGTGTGAATATCTGGAGCAGTTGTTACTTGAAATATGGATTGGGTTCTTCTCTGGTGAAGAGAGGGGTTTCTCGCCCCTCTTGGCAGCCTCTAAATCAGGGCTGTTATTTAAGCTTAGCCATGTTAAAACTGGTGGACTTCAACACCCAGAATTCCCCAGCCAGTTGGCAGGGGAATTCTGGGAATTGAAGTCCACCAGTTTTAACATTGGCAAGCTTGGATACCCCTGTCCTAAATCAAAGTTAAGACACAGGAGTTTTTTTGTTTTGTTTTCTAGTGGAGCTGGTGTTGTGGATGTGGCATGCGAGACAGCAGTCATTGTTCACTGGGGAAGCCTTGGGGTAACCATGCCGTGTTGGTCCCCCTCTCCTTGCAGCATATCATTTGTCTCTTGGATTGTCTGGTTTTGTGTCATGCTTGCTGATTGTGGACCCCTTCACCGCAGCGGATCAAGTTGGGAAAGTAACAGGTTGACCGACAACACAACCTGAATGCTTGCAAAAAATATGAATCTCCCAGCATCCCTTTCCCCTCCAGTAGCTTTGCGGCATTTGATGAGCTGAGTCTCTGAAAAGAACCAATAGATATTTTGGGAATGGAGGTAGCTTTTCTTCCATTAGTGGGTCACTTTCCTTGCACTTCCTGCCCCAGCTATTTGGACTGTGCATGAGTACGGAATGAAGGGGAAATGCATAAATGGTGGTAGCTGAAACGGAGGCGAAGGGATGGGCTGGTGGCGGGAAGGACAACATAACCTATGTAAGAAATTTATTATTCTTTGTGTGTCTGTGTGTGTGTGTGTTTCTGTGTGCGTGCATGTGTGTTTTATTTATCTATTCTTTCCAGGCTTCATGGACCAGGCCCGAGAAACAAGAGGTATTAGCTTACCAGACCAATAGTACATTTTATCTAGCTTTACGTATCTATCGTTTGTAAATATTTAGCTGTTGCAAAATAACCAATTGATTGTAGAAGTAACAAAAGCAAACTAAAGGTAGTGTTAACAACGTAACTTCACCGATGCTGAGGATATAAATTCAGCCGGGAAATATATATATATATATATCGGATAACTCAAAGCTGCATTCTCTCCTAGTGGATGTTGGAGTGAGCAAGCATCTTCTCTTAAAGTGGCTAGTTCTCACTTGCTCTTTGGGACGTTGGTGGATTTTAAAAAGGTCCCATAGCTTTTCCAGGACAATGTGCAACATCAAATTCACAAGGTTTGGAGCTGCTGAGGCACCAACGTCCAAAGCAGATTTCGTAAAATATGTAAAGCGCTTGCATTCCCTGGGACCGAAGCGATTCCTCTCTATCCACCACTTCATGTGTTTGCTCAAATGTTTGCTCATTTCTTTCCAATTAGACACACTCTGTTCTCTTTTACTGTTTGCGTCACGTTCCAGCTCAGAAGAGAAACAATGGCCCTGTCTCCCCGTTTCACAAAAGGGCCTTCTAGATCAGGAGCCTGCAAACTTGACGATTTTCAAGACTTCTGGACTTCCACTCCCAGAATTCCCAGCCAGCATGGTTGGTAGCTGGAGCTTTAAGCAGCTCCTGAGTTTTCAGGAAGAAAATGCCCCCTTTTCCATAGTTTTGTTCCCTCTGTTGTATTTGGGAAAAGCACCAGACAGGACTGAGCATCAATGGCCCTTTGGATGGATTTTATTTCAATTTCGGGTTGTTAAAATAATATAGTCCGGAGGTTGGCTGGCTAGGAAATTCTGGGAATTGAAGCCTTAAAGTTGCCAAGTTTGGAGAACTTTTCTCTAGATTAGAGTTTCTGGCTTCTGGCCTGGATTTCTTGTGCATATTTAACAGGCCACCACATGTTCCTTAATGTGAAATGAATCACGTGGGTTAGTTCTTATCGAATTTGGATTTGGGGAGGGTAGCCATGGCTTTGGTAAGACTCCAAATTTCCACTTCAGGCAGTGGGATGAGAATCGAAAGCAGAAGGAGCTTTTGTCATAAGATGCTCTTAACCTGAGCTTGGGCAGAGAGTGAACAAATCTTGAATTGCACAAAAACAGACGTGAACCAGATAGCGGCCTTTATGTGGTGAACGGAGTTCGGCCGGTCCACGAGATTCTTCCTCTGCCCACAGAAGGGATCCTGTCTGTTTAGTGCGCAACTGATAACATGGGGATCGTTCTTCTCCCTTGAGTCAATTTCTGTCCAGGTGGAATTGAAAACCTTAGGTTTCCAGAATGGCCAGTCCCTAATTTTGAGGATCTGAAATTGGCGGTTCAGGAATTGAGCAGAAGTAGATGAAACGGCAAAGGCCTTTTCAAGGATGTGGTCTTTAAATTGCCCCTCCCACAGTCATGGGCTGCATCCCTTGTCTGATTTGCATGAGGTTGAGGTTGGGAATGGCTGCCAGGCCTGTTTTGGCATCTCTACAGCAGCCATCCTCTGCCTGCATCTGTTGCCATGGCAACACCCGATCAAACTGGGCCTTTCAACTCTGTGTGCGTGTGTGTTCTCTTTGGGGTTGGAACAAGCCTCTTCATGCACAAGAAAGCGGAAGGGGGGGGGATGTTTCCCTTTTGGAATGCTGATTCAGGGAGGCCATACCTCTTTTTGGGTTAGTCATCTCTTTTCCAGTGGATTTGGGAAGGATCAATTGTGCAGATTTTGTTTGGATCTTTACATTATCTGTGAAGGGAGAAAGAGGAGATTTCTCCCTTTTTAGCCAGCCTATCATTCCCCTCAAAGAGAAAAAAGTTCTCATGAAACTGGCAGATTGGGAAGGAAGCCTTCTAAAACCTGGTCTCTCTTACGAGAGGGATGGGCGTCGTGGATCCAGTGATATCAGGGAGCAATCCGCAACACGAGAAGCTCTCCTTCCATTCCAATTCTTGTATCTCCCTGCAATTTGTGCCAGGTTCCTTCTCCATCCCTGCCCACAATATGGCAAACCTTCCCTTTGTCTCCAATCTTAAGCCCAGGCTTGTTGCAACTTTGCTTCAAGGAGGCTGGACTACCCTTGCTACAGCATTTCCACCGACCTTCCGAGAAGTGTAGGAGCGAAACAAACCTAATTCACAATGGTTCCCCAAAGGAAGACAAGGAGGGAGAAATAGAAAGGTTCTGTGTTAGCAGCAAAGGGGATAAGGAAGCGGGGTTGGAAGGCACCTGCATTGCAAACAAACCATAGGGGGCAACAGCAAAGGAAAGGCATGGGGTCCAGGGAAGAGGGAACAACACCTCAAAGGAAAAGGAGGCACTGATAGGCTGGACTATAGGGGAGCCGGCCAACCAGGCTTGCCTGCCTGGAAAAGATAGGAAGGACAAGAAGCAGGAGAGGGACCAGTCAGGTCCATCTGGCAGCTTAGCCTATCCATTGCAGTCCAGACTGCAATGTCCGAAACTGGCTTATGAAAGTGCCAAGACCTCCTTGGGAGGCAAGCAGCTTGGTCTGCAGGGTGGAATTGACCTGCCGAAGGGGATATTTTCCTGCATAACCAGCATTGCCTCTCTTCCAGAATTCGCACCTTAGCCACCTTCTGAGACGTTTCCTCTCTTTCCTGCCAGACCCTAGATGGCCGCATCGAAGTCCGCAGCCACGCCCGCGTCTCTTCCCTGACCCTGAAGGACATTCAGTACACGGATGCTGGGGAGTACACCTGCATAGCCAGCAACACCATTGGGCAAGATTCTCAAGTCATGTACCTAGAAGTTCAGTGTAAGTTGAGTCATTCCACCCTCGCTCTGAGTAGAGCCAACTCCTGCGTTTCTCCTTTGTCTTGCAACTTGTGGGTGGTAAGGGTGATGATTGGCAGACTAGAGAGCAAGAATCAGAACAGGAAAAGGTCGTTTTGAGCTAGAGATGGACTTTCAGGTAGTGGACTTTTATGGAATACCTGTGAGACTTGGGGTACGGTGGAAAGGGGAAAGAGAATAAGAAGAACAGGAAAATGGAGTACATAATCCACTGATATTGACTGGCCTTTATGGCCAAGTGGCAAGAATCAAAGGCAACAAGCCAAACTAACCCTGATAAATTCAAGCTTGTTATCAGTCTTTACACTGACGGAGTTTATATTTATCCATTGGGTTGAAGCCCATGGACCTCTCATAAGCAGAGACAGCGTACCTCTGCAGTGTACCTCTGGTTGTAGTGTACTTCTACATATACTAAAGAAGTACTACTACATTGCACTTTAGAGTATAATAATGGAGCAAAAAAGAAGGGGGATTTTTGCTTGTGAAGTCAGTTGATGAGCTGGAATATCTTTGCTTCTTGGTGGCCACTCTTGGGAACAGGAAGTTGAGTAAAGGGACCTGTAGCTGTGTTTGTATGCCCCATTGAAGATACATAGATATCGATAAGATGTGTGTATTCAAATTAAAGTAGGAGAATTGGATCTTGCAGACTGTCAAAAAAGGATATTGTCTGTTTTTAAACGCATCTTTTTCTTTTTTCTCTTTCTCTTCCTTTGTTTCTTTCTTTCTTTTACATCTCTTCTCTTTTCTTTCCAGTTTGTAAGACCGAGTGTTCTTTTTTTGGTTTTTTCCCTTTTGTGTATGTAATGTCGATATGTTTTTAATTGTAAATTTAATAAAATTTATTTATAAAAAAAAGAAGATACATTCTTCTTGGACATTTCCAGGGCTTCCTAGTTCCCTTGATTTCCCAACAATCAACTCTAGGAGATGTCTGATGCTGGGCAAAGAATTGACTGCATTAGCCTACAGACACAGTCAAGAGTTTGCATTTCAAGGTCCCTTGCCCCCAAATATATGAGCCACCCAAGATCTTGCAAGAAACACAGCATGGCGTATTTGTGGGTAGCATTCCCAAGATTCTTTGCTTTGGCCTAATGGGCTGGATCTGCCTGGAGTATCATTTAGAGCAGGGCTCTCCAACCTTGGCAACATTAAGACTTGGGGACCTCAACTCCCAGAGCTTCGCTGGCTGAGGAACTCTGGGAGTTGAAGTCCACAAGTCTTAAAGTTGCCAAGGTTGGAGACCCCTGATTTAGAAATCCATTCGTTGCCATGGCAGAATTATGCAAACAGGTCGGGTGGAAAGAAGGGACCAGAAGATATGGGGGGAGATGTTCTTCTGGATGCCTTCTCCTGGAGACTGACTTCCACGTTGCTTCTCCTTGGTTCCAGATGCCCCAAAGTTGCAGGGCCCTGTTGCAGTGTACACCTGGGAAGGGAACCCCGCAAACATCACCTGCGAAGTCTTTGCTTACCCCAGTGCTGATATCTCGTGGTTCCGGGATGGACAGCTGCTGCCCAGCTCCAACTACAGCAACATCCGGATCTACAAGACACCAGCCGCCAGTTTCCTGGAGGTGAGCACTGAGAAGTGGGGGGGCTGCATCTCTGTGCGCACAGAATGAGGTGCAAAAGTTGGCTATGAAGGACAGGAAAACAAGCCAAAAATGGCATTGTTCATGCAACCCCCATCAGTTTAGGACATTTGTATCAACTGCCACTTAGCACATGTTTAAATTGCTTCGGACAGTTACTGCGTGTTAGAAGAGTGACACCCAAGGACTGTGAAAGTGTTCAGGAGTAGCTTTGCTCCCTTCTCAGCATCCCAGTTTGGTGCTGTGCAGGCTTTACATGCATTGTGTTTGATCTCCCTCCTTCCAGGCTGATAGCTAGTTCACTCTTGTTGTTCCTCCTCCTCCTCCATTAATTGAATCAGAATAGAGCTGGAAGGGACCTTGGAGGTCTCCTAGTCTAGCCCACTGCTCAATCAGAAGATCCTATATCAGTTCACACAGTCTCTTCTTAAAAACCTCCAGTGATGAAGCACCCACAACTTCCAGAGGCAAGCTGTCCCACTGGTTAATTGCCCTCACTGTTAGGAATTGCTTGGTTTTGATTATCCCAAAGGTGCTTTTTCAAGAGGCAACTGGACTTTCTGGTTTTTCTTTGAAGATGTTCTTTCTTTGAAGCTCAGAGCTGAAGAAGCTTCTTGGATGAGAAGCGAAACGTCTTCAAAGAAAATAAAACAGGAAGTCCAGTTGCCTCTTGAAAAAGCACCTTCGGGACAACCATGACCTGGAGGATGGAGAATCTCCATAACATTGGTTTTGATTAGTTACTTAAGTTAATAGGTGCCTCCACATCTCTTTCCGCAAATTCTATAAATTTGACGTGTGTGAAAATGTATTTTCCTTCCTTCTCTTCTGACTCTGTTCCTAAACATCTTTGCTGACCACTTCCGGTAGCCTGAGAATGGCCAGGCTACCCATTGCCTATCGATTTTCTCTGCATCGTGTGGACTTAGACAATCCTTAGACTGCCTTCTTTTCTTTTCTTTTCTTTTTAAATAAACTTTACTGATTTTACAATTAAGATATACAAGCAACACACACACAAATAAGAAAAAAGAGAGAAAAACAAAGGAGAAAAAGGGGTAAACAGTTAAAAAAAACATTGCATCATCAACATTTTGTGGTTCCTTATTTATGTTATTATTTTGTGCCATGTTTACAATTGATCTTTTTTTCTTCTTTTCTAATTGACCAAATCCAAAGTGCTTCCTTCGTTTTTCTTCCTAAGAAGCATTTTTCTCTGGCTCACCTGGTCAATCTCCTTTTTTTCAGGTGACACCATATTCAGAAAACGATTTCGGGAATTACAACTGCACAGCAGCCAACCGGATTGGCCAGGAATCCTCCGAGTTCATCCTGGTTCAAGCAGGTTTGTTTGGACTGGTTTTTCTCTTCCTTTGGAATAAATCAGGGGTTTCCAAACTTGGTGTCAATGTTTCGAGTAATACACCCATTGAAAGCAGAACTCCGAGGCAGGCAAATTCCTCAAAGAACAATTTATTGGCACAACTGGTGAAAACCGACTCTGAAGTTCCCGTGGTTTTCACCTAATTAAAAAGTGAAAGTTCCCATTTCCCCTAGGTCACATTGTCCAGTAGAGGTGCTGGTTGGTTGTTTGGTTACTCTACTCCTCCTCTTCTCAGCCACTGATTGAAATGTCCTTGATTCCCACAAGAATTTTTTTTGTTTTGACTACAAATCCCCAGCTAGTTATTTTCTCCTCGTCTTGTGGCAACCCCTGGAGCCGCAAAGATGGCCTCAGCTAGGTTTGTTTCAGGGTTGACACTTGGCAACTTTAAGTCTTGTGTACTTCAACTCCCAGAATTCCCCAGCCAGCGTGCCAACATATTGGCAACATATTCTGTTCAACCTCCCAAGCTCCCTCAGTGATTGGCTACTGCTGGGATAAAAATTTCAGCCTAGTCTAGGCCTGACCTCCTTTTCTGGCTCCCTTCCTCCACAGATACGCCCTCTGCGCCTTCCATCGAGAAAGTGGAGCCATACTCCAGCACAGCCCAGATCAGATTTGATGAACCGGAGGCCACTGGGGGTGTCCCCATCCTCTGGTACAAGGCCGAGTGGCGAGCCACCGGGGAGGAAAACTGGCACACCAAAATCTACGATGCCAAGGAAGGTGAGGTGCCCAAACCTGTCCTACACTGATTACTTATTTCTTTGTCTGTTTGTGAACTGTCCATCTTACCTCAAGGTAACTCTGGTGGGGGGCTTACAGTCTTAAAGGATAAAAACTTATATAAAATAAAAAACAGAAATAAGTTGGCACAAAAAGTCAAACACTGCAGCACAATGAGAAGATGGAGAGGGTAGCAGCAGGGTGGAAGGTGTGTGGGGCAACTTTGCAATGTTTCCACTCTGGCTGATAGGAGAGATCTGCTTTGATCCTTTTTATTGGTTGTATTTACAACTCTTCTCTCCTCCCCCCCCCCCCAAAAAAAGTTTCAAGCTAGCCAGCGGGGAAGCATGAAAGCAGAACCAAACATTTGAAAACATTAATTCCTAAATGTCACCGCAATAAAGCAATAGGGAAGAAACAGCAGCGGCTCCAAAAATAACTCCCAAGCTCTGTAGACTTTCTTCTAAGAAGCAGATAATTTCTCCCCAAAATGAAAGCTGACCTTTCTTTGGGAAATAAAGCCTAGGTTTGCCTACAGAATATGTCTTTAGTCTAAATCAGAGTTAGATGGATTCCTGGGGATTCATGTAAATGAAGGTTCAATCCTCCAAGCCAAAAAGCATCTCAAAAGGTGAAATCATGGCAACTGGACCAAAGTTTATTCAAACGGAGACATTTCGTTACTCATCCAAGCAGCTTCTTCAGGCAAAATGGTGTGGGAGTAGGAATTGATTTCCGGTGGAAAAAATTGCAGACTGCAGGAACCAGGAGCACCACTCAGGTGAACCCTGAGGATACAGATAAACCTCCAAGTGGCCTCAACAACCCTCTAAAAGGATGCAGATGACCAGTTCTGTCTGCAAGGAATATAAATCCTTCCATTCCCCACTATCCTGTCAGAGCGGAAGAAGCTTCTTGGATGAGAAGCGAAACATCTTCAAAGAGAAAAACCAAGGAAGTCCAGTTGCCTCCTGGGAAAAAAGCACCTCTGGGACAACCATGAGCTAGAGGACAGAGAATCTCTATAGACTTACATCCCTAGAGATGGTTCTGATCCTCACCTTGTCTGCTGTCTCTCCTGGCACAGCCAACACTGAAGGCATCTTCACGGTCATCGGCTTGAAGCCAGAGACCATGTACGCCATCCGACTGATGGCCATCAACGGCAAAGGCACCGGCGAGATCAGCTCCCTCTCCGACTTCAAGACCCAGCCAGTTCGTAAGTAAAGCCCTGCTCCTCCCCTGTCCTCTGCTTGGCAACCTCAGCCCTTTCTCAGGCCAACTGCCCATCCTTCACCTCTCACCTGGTCCTCCTCCTCCTCCTCCTCTGGACTCTGTGTCCAGGTCCCCCTCCATGTCCCTGAGTTGGAACCTTCTTTTCTGTTTCCTCTTCCGAGAAACTTGTCTTGTTGTTGTTGTTCAAATCCTTTTGTTGAGCTGTGAGGATTGTGGAGAGCACACTTATTAGCACCTAGGAATGTATTACTATTACATTACTACCATTAGCTCTGTTGGTTTTTTTTTTTTTTTTTAAATGCTGGTCCTAATATCTTCTGGTTGATTAGGTCAGGTGGAGGTGGGAGATGGGTTGGGGGAGACAAAACACTGTTTTGGGGCAGAAGTGGCTGCTATAAGAGATTAGAAGGGTTTAAAAAAAAAACCCACCAATTTGGCCTTTGAGCTTTTATTCTCTTGAAACATGGGCTCGTAAGCTGCAGATCGTTCTTAACTTACAAGCACAATTGAGCCCAACATTTCTGTTGGTAACCGAGACAGTTACTAAGTGAGTTTTGCCCCTTTTTACAACTCATTTGCCACAGCTGTTAAGTGAATTTGCCTTCCCCACTGAGTTTGGTGGTCAGAAGGTCATAAAAGGGGATCACACACACCCCCCCCCCAGACAATGCAACTGTCATAAATATGAGTCAGTGGCCAAGTGTCCAAATGTTGATCACATGGTCATGATCAACCACAGTGGTCAAGTGTGAAAAATGTCCGCTGGTCCCTTTTTTTCCAGTGTTGTTATCATTTCAAATGGTCACTTAGTGGGCGATTGTAAGTCAAGAACTACCCGTAAAGCAGGTTTGAAAACGTACTTCCACTTAAGACCTCGTTTGGAGTGGTTTTCAAAGCTCGCCCATCTCCTTCCTGGTCCCAGATCTCAGCTCTGCTGGATCTCCCCAAGAGATCCATAATCTGCTTCAGAATATAGTCCTGTGGCCTTGGAAGATCAGCTTCAGGCGAGGGAGGAGGCGGTCTCTCTCCCACGGTGCTTGGAGAGGAAAACTACGGCTGCCTAGCCCTGTCCCATCCTGTGTCCGTCGACAGATTTAGCAGCTTCTGCCGACTCGCCTAATTGGCTTTTAGAGCCTCCTAAGCTTTTGCAGGAAGCTTTAGGGCAGTAAATTCAGGCAGGTTTAAAAGTCTGAGATCTTCATTGTTTTATCCAACCTGAGTTTCCCATCAATTTGTTTCCGGAAACGGCTGCTGACCAAGCGATATGGAAGCATGCATTAAAAACCCTGGCTGGCGGAGAATGGATCGAGTGCAATTCCGTTCAGAACGATGCCGGCTTTGCAAATGGCACGCCTGAATGAGCTGCCTCCCGCTCACATTTTATATGCCGCGAGACCCCCCAACACACACATACACACACACACACACACATGCACACGCACACATATGCACACTGTCAAATTCTGGAAGAGCAGCAGGCAAAGGGGGAGGAGGAGTCCGAGGGCCCCGCCAGTGTATTTTTTCCAGCCTCCGAGCCGGGGTGTCCAATCTTGGCAACTTTAAGATCTCTAGACTTCAATTTCCAGAATTCCCCAACCTGGCTGAGGAATTAGAATAGAAGAGAGATGGATGGGACCTTGGAGGTCTTCTAGTCCAGCCCCTTGCTCAAGCAGGAGAACCTATACCATATAGACTCTTCTTAAAAGCCTCCAGTGATGGAGCACCCAAGATTTCTGGTGTCCAGCTGTTCCACTGGTTAATTGTCCTCACTGTTAGGAAGTTTCTCCTTAATTCGAGGTTGCTTCTCTCCTTGCTTAGTTTCCAGCCCTTGTTTCTTGTCCTGCCCTCTGGTGCTTGAATAAGTTGACCCCTTTCTCTTCTTTGTGACAGCCCCTCAAATACTGGAACACCATGATCACGTCGCCCCTAATTCTTCTTTTCTTTAGACGAACCAGGCCCAAATCCTGCAGTCAATTCTGGGAGTTGAAGTCCAAGTTGCCACGGTTGCACATGCCTTCTCTAAGCTTGGTCTTCTTCTCTGGAAAAAAAAATGGGCCGTTTGACGTCCCGTTTAGACACAGTCCCTGCCCTGTATAATTTGTAAGCTCTGGGAAACTTATCTCTGTGTCCTTTGAATTTGGAGAGAGACAGATTCGTCTGTGTAGCCCTCTCGATCACATCCAAGGGGCTGGGTCCAGTGGTGAGATTCAAATAATTTAACAACTGGCTCTCTGCCCCTAATGATTTCTTCCAACAACCAGTTCATCAGACTGCTCAGTTTGGTTCTCCCAGAGAGGTGCAAACCAGTTCTGTCAAAGTGGTGAGAACCGGCTGAATTCCACCCCTGGCTGGGTCCCTTTTATCCCATTTGGCTATCCTCCTTCCCCTCGCCTAGAAATCATCTCTGCCCCGTCCTCTCTGCTTCTGCTGCCTCTAGCAAAACCCGGTGGCTGTGTGTATGTGTGTGTGTGTGTTGCTGCCCTCCCAACCCTCTGGCATTCCCCATCTCCCCTCCCTCTTCGACCCTCGTAATAATTCATTAAGCAGGGGGCAACCGACCTGACATTTCCATCTGCAGCAGCGTTTTTATTTTAGAAACACCTCTGGGTCTTGCAGGATACATTCTTAAACAAACGGAAACACGAGATCTTGCAGATGAGCTGAGTTTGGAAGGGATGCCCCCCCTGCCAAAAGAAAAAAAGGGGGGGGACTAAAGAAACTGGGCTTCCTGCAGAATTCATTGACGTGGGAATAACCTCCACGTTTACGACTCCTGGCCCCTTCCCCCTCCTTAGCTGCGGTTTTCCGATGGGTAACCTGAACCCCCAACTCTTGCCTGCCACGAGTTGAAGGGTGGCCCATGGTGTGGTTGTCGCCTTACCCTTATTCTCCCTGAAAACCTGGTCGGCCTCCTGAGGAGCTAGTCCTCAGCAGACAGGCGTCCCAGAGTGTTGCCTTGTTTTCAGCGCCTTCGTCCATCGACTCCTTTTTTTTTTTTTCATCTCTTTTGCCTCTTTTCTCTTTTGGGGGTCTGTCTTTTCTTTACATTCGTCTTCTGCCTATGGGGGAACTGCAGGCCTTCCACCACCACGTAAGTGCTGCTTCTCCATTCCTTTTCCCCGCTCCGAGTGCCCCGGCTTTAACGTGTCCCGTAGATCCATGTGTGGTTTCTCCTAACTTAACTTAATTCCTCTCTTTGGCTTTGCTTCTCTTTCTCCGTAGAAAGAAAGTAGCGGGTAAATCATTTCTCCTAACAATACTGACTCTAGAGTAGCTGTCGTGTTTCCCATTAACACCTGGTCAAGAGGTGAATGCTCTCCTTTCCCCCTCCCTCTGGAGCATGCATCTTGTCTGTATCTGCATGAGACCCAGTTGGAGTGGAGGTGTCTTTCCTTTTCTTTTTTCTTTCTCTTTCCTCTTCTTATCCTTCCCTTATCCTTTCTATCTTCTCTTCTCTTGTCCCATCCCTTCCCTCCAGCTTCTCTTCTCTTCCCTTCCCTGCCTCTCTCTTCTCCTCTCCTCTCT